AATTGATAAATAATAGTATTTCTGTTATTTCGTCTTATAAATAATTTGTTAATTTAAATAAAACTATATGAAGTCAATTTAATTACGAGTATTAAAGCAACAAAAATAAAAGAATAGATGGTCCTGTGCTCAGCGTTCTTGCCTTTTAAACGAAAGACTCGAGTTCGATTTTCAGATGGGGAAAAATTAAATGAACTTTTTTTTTCGTTTATTTTATTTATTAAAAGTCATAAATTATTTTAAAATTAGTTATTTTGTCTCAATAACCTAAAATATTTTTTTTATTTGTAAATTTTCGTAAGTGGGTCGTAGAAAAAATATTCTATACAACTCGAGTGGATTGTACATATCGCTCTCAAGACGATTGAGTACTCCGCCTACGGCGTCGTGCTCAAATTTCGTCTTCGTGCGATATGGCCATCTTTTTAAATTCGCATGAGAGAGAGGAATGATCGAACATTTGATTGTTACAAGACCTATAACAAGATCTACGGAAGGAAGTGATGAATTTTTGTACGAGCAGTATCTATAACTTTGTACGCAAAAACATATATTCAGTCACAAATAATATCTGCATAAAAGTTTAAATACAATTTATGGATAATGAGTAGTCTAACTGTTACAAAGTTTTTTTTTTAGAGACTTTCTTGTACTGTAACCATAACCAAATGCGCATGCATACATTTCACATCAATATTACTTCCTTGAAAACATCATTTGACAAAAATGTGTGCTACAAATGATGATGTAATATAGAATTTTACCTGAAAAATTAACGAGTTTTTGCTGATATTTGCAACACAACACCGGAATTGGCCTCAATAACAGAAACTAAAATCAGCAATGTAAAATCTGTAGGCCAAAAAAAAATGGAAAAAGCTCTTTTTCTGACAAATTCCTTAGTAAATTTAGCAAGCCTTTCCAACACGAGTCTCTTCAATAACAAAATGAAAATAATTCAGATATTGAAATGTATTGGAGGCAAGGTACTGAGGTTGTGGTGCATCCTATAACTAATGAATCCCAAAGTGACACCATTAGGAAGATGCACCAGTGCCCACGTTAGTAGCAGTACCTGATGTCGAAATTGAGATTGTTGATCAAATGCACAATACCTTATCTTTAAACATACCTAATATAGTAAACATCTCTAGTGTCGAAGACAGTTCAATGATTGCCGTGCATCTTATAACTGATGAATCCCACAGTAATACTAATACGAGAAATGAACTAGTTCGTACGTAAGCAGCAGTACCTGATACAGAAATTGAGATTGTTGATATCTTTGAACAAAAACTACAATTTAATGAACATATCTAGTGTCGAAGAGAGTCCAACGATTGGCAATTATCATAAACAACGCCTCACACCTATAAGATTTAATTTAATTTTCTTTGTCGCAGATGAATCGTTTTTAAAAATAAAGAAGTCAGTGAACTTGTAACAGGTTTAATTAAAGACAGAGAAAGTAGTGAACTCTCAGAAACTGAAACATCAGATGTCTGCCGCGTTGTCTTAAATCATAAAATACACAGTAAGAACTTGAGTATGACAAAGGTGACTCACGTTATTAATTTATTTTTGCTTTTCTTTTAGTTATAAGCGACATTAAGTTGCCACTCAAAATTAAAACAAAAGGTAGCAAGAGTTGCATTCTTTATATACCTACCAATATGCATTTCATAAGAATAATGTTGTTGTTTATGCTTAGTAGTTGGCTCGTCTCGCTCCTAACATACAAGAAACTAAGAATTACAGTGCACGATGTTAATTTTGTATGCAATTAAAGGTGCACGCTAAAATCCTACGTCATGGACAGGGATAACGTTTTAGCGTGTACCTACATTTTTTATTGCGTGCACGTTAGCGTGCACCTTTTTTGCGTAGGAGGAAAGATCTTCAAAAGACACCAAAACACCCGTGTGTCAGGTGGTGTGGGACTTGTAACCACTAAAAAACCTCCCTTTATACCCGGAACCACTTTCGCATTACTTCGAGGCGAATGCTTACTATTAAATATTTATTAATTTTTCATCCTTTTCTCTTGTTCTCATTATTGTTACTATATATTCAATTATAGTTAACCAGTTCTTTTCACTTTTAGTAATTTTCTCTATGTTATTTTTTGCTAGTTCGACCCCTACTTTGATGTCCGTGATTGCTTTCTCTTCCAGCCACCTGTCACAACTGGAAATAGCGTGTTCGGCATCATCTCGTTCTTCATCGCAATACCGACAATCTTCTGAGGACGCCTTGCCTTACAACTCAATTACATAATAAATGCCTGAAGATTGCAAATATTATCCCCATTTTAAAATCCGGGAAAAACCCCAAAAATATAGGAAGCTATTGACCTATCTCGCTGCTAAACACTATTGCAAAAATAGTAGACACAATAATTTTAGACAGACTCAAAAATATAGAAGACAGACTAAGACTTATCCCGCAGGAACAATATGGCTTTCGAAGGGTACATAAGAATCGTTCATCATGCCAAAGAGGCCACACATTTTAACAAACAAACGGTGCTGGTCGCTCTTGATTGCGAAAAGGCCTTCGACTCTGTTTTGACCTGCGGGCTAATTCACAAAATGCTTGTGAATGATTTTCCCGTACACATTGTAAAGATAATTCACTCTTACATAACGGACAGACAATTTAACATTAAAATTAATAACACAATAACAGAACCATTCACTGCGCAAGCGGGAGTGTCCCAGGGCTCAGTACTTTCGCCGCATTTGTACACCATTATGACCCATGACATACCAATGGGGGGTACAAACGGCACTGTACGCCGACGACATCTGTCTGTATAAAAGTAATCATTCAGCCGAAAGTGCCCTCAGGACACTGGACATCCATATAAACAGGAAACTAATCCCCTATCTAGTCAAAAACAAAATTAAAATCAACCCCCTCGAAAACCGAGAGCATGCTCATAACCAAACGTAGGTCCAGGGGGGTCCACATACCCCTAAATGTAGAAGGTCAACAGGTAGACACGACAAATAAAATGAAGTACCTTGGTTTTCAACTAGATGGGGGACTAACGTTCAATTTGCATATCAAAGACAGGGTAGCAAAACATCACATAGCAATTAAAACCTTGTATCCGATCCTGAACAGAAGGAGTAAAGTCACCCTGTCAAATAAGCTCTTAATTTTTAAGACCATATTAAGACCTATACTAACATATGGATGCCCAGTGTACTGTTCGATGGCAAATTGTCACTACAGCAAACTACAGATTGCACAAAATAGATGTCTTCGGCTAGCGCTGGGCTACGACCGTTATGCCAGAATCGAAGACATGCACATACAGAGACTCCACGAATTAAGGACTACATACTAAAAACAGCCGAGGTTTTCTACATGCGGTGTCTCCCTGACTATGTAAAAGATGATATCTTGAGCATTTATCAGGGGGACGGCGTACGTAGAAAGCACGGGTTTACACGCTAAACTGGACATATACAGACATCGAAATAGACAATAACACTCCTCCTTAACGATCCCAGACAAAATAAATAACAAAATAACAGCCTCACGCCGACTGGGTATTTATGCAAACCAGTCGAACGGCGGACTGATCGGTAGACTGGCCATCGAGGCAACAAGCGCGAATTTCGTGATTATTGCCTGGGTGGACGGTATATCGATCACTCAGCCTGTGAGTTGTACTAACCATAGACTAAACAAACGTACACACAAGGACAACCTTGTTTTTTCTAGCCTTTTCAGGGGATAAAACCATAACTAAAACGCGACATATCCCTATAACAAATTCCCATTTCCGATCCCAAAACAACCAAAATCCCTAAATAATACCGATTCGGTAAGGAGTGAGGGCTGCAATAGTTACCAAACTAGAAGTCAGAAAAAAGTTTTATAGGTGGAAGCTTCCACCATGGTCCCAGGTCCCACACGAAAGAACGAAGACCCGGTAGTGTCGAATTATAATACTTTTTATGGCATGTAGATATTTTAAAACTGTAAATAAAAATTCTTCTAGTTCTAGAGGACGCCTTGTCGATGACATATAAATATTGGTTGAAGCAACCATGCCCACTAAGAAACTGAGTAAAGTAGTAACCTACTTCGCCGTGTTTTCTTTCTTACCAAGTTCCTATGTCTGGGATAAGTTCTTTAATCCAATGACCTCTTATGGGTTGTCTCCATGATTGCTGCCACCTTTGGGTAGTCCGTTTTCTCTGCTCTCTTGTATTTCTTTTGTCTTTAGGGGTGTTGTAAAGTCTGACTCGTTCTTCAGCCATTTACTCTATTGGAATTATCCTTGCTATAACCTGTGCCGCTTCTCTTGAGAATCTTGAGATCGTGCGGTATGCACTACACACTCTTATAGCTAGTGTTCTTTGAACTTTTTAACGTTAGCGTGCACCTAGACACGGCGTTAATACTGAAGGCTTAATTTGAGGGTAAATATTTTTTTGTAATTTAGATACATACAATTTCTTAGTTTGTGTACAATAAAATAATGAGTGCATGGTCATTTTTGCTGCTTGGCTTGAGGGGGTTGGATTTCTGGCTATGAATTTTATATGGCAATTCATCCCATTGACAATAAAAGTTGAGGTATTATTTGTTTTAAATTTACCTATGATCAAAGTTATTTCGACTGTCTGATTTTGAAATAAAAGCACTGTATATGAATAAATATAAACTTTCTATTGATGAACAAAAATAGGTGGATGCTGCTGGGCTGTAGAGGTTTGGATTTCTAGGCATGAATTGTATATGGCAATTCATCCGTTTGCCAAAAAAGTTGACGAGTTTTCTTTTTCTTAAATTTACGTAAAATCAAAAGTTATTTTGACTGGCTGGTTTTGAAATGAAAGGACTGCAGAAAAATTCAACACATTATTTTTTTAATATTTTTCTAACATACATCAGATTCATTCAATAGGCTCGGGGTTTGCAAAAAAAAAAACTAAATATCTAAACATTTTATATATTTCTAAAACAATGAACAAGTTAGTTTAAAAGTTTCTAGCTAGTGGATGACTTGGAAAATATTCCTTATATTTAAACACTTTCTTTGAAATCGTCCTGTAACTTTGATCGTTTGTATGATAATACCCTAAATAAAGCTTATTTATATTGTTTTTAACCCTTTCCACTGCAGTATTACAAAATGTCATAGCTAAAGTCAGTTCCATAGCAGCATTTGGAAGGCCAATGCAGTAAGATCTTGAAGACCGCGCTAAAAACATTTAAATTTTAAATAAACAGGCTTTTTTGCAGATTATAACTTGTATGTATTGTATAATGATCCAGGAATAAATGGAAGTATACAGAAGTCAACTCTAAGTTGAGAGTGACATAACCTAAACAACTCAATGTGAGATCTGCATGCCAGACAAAAAAAAATTATTGTATATTAAATATTCAAAAATATTTTTATTTATTATAATAATCTGATCTTACCTATGCAAGCTGTCATAACATAAGTATCTATAATGGCATCTCCTAATCTTTTCAAGTCCATGTGATAATTTAAAACTTCTGGACCATATCTTGCAAGCAATATTTCCGCTGCAAATTCTAACCTCTTAATGCAATACCTAAAAAAGTAATCCAAGAATGAATCATCGAAAATTGGTTTATTTTTTAAAAGATTATATTGCTTTAAAAATGTGTAGCTCACTCTAATTGTTTAGAAGAGTTGTGTAAAGAAGGATGTAGATGGTCCCCCAATTCTAAATCTAATTTTGGATTGTCCTCGTTATTCCTTCGGTTTGTCCATATTCTTCTTAAATTAAAAGCTCCATGGAATAATGGATTTCTTATTTTATTAACAAGGTCATTAAGTTCTTTCTAAAAATAAAATTAATATTTTAAAAATCACTGACACGCTGTTTTGAGTTATTCATTTAAACACTTAAGAGCGTTAGCCATGTACTAAAATTGACTTAAAAGTAATTCCAAGTTTCCAGGCTTATTTTTTTTATGAAATTTTTCATGCATATTTATGGAGTCGTGCATAATGTTGATACATTTTTAATATATCAACAATTTTTTTTTAATAAAACGAGTATGTAGCCGTATTTTTATTCAAAAAATATGTTTATTTCAACAATTTTTTTCTACAAAGCTTTTTTTTGTAAACTTGGAATTACTAAAAATCGAAAAATGTATTTAGATTTACCCGAGATAACTACCTAGAAACGTCGCACTGATATGCACCATATCTCCAGGATCAGCTAGCCTCTTAGAGAAACTATCCTATAAAAATCGAGAACGCGTCGTTGCCAAAATGGGCTGAGAGGTACTGTGTTGCGTATTATTTAGCAGATTATAAATCTAAGTTAGGAGCGTACTGGATAACGCTCTTAACAAAAAATACCATTACATTATTGTTAATTACGGAAATTAACAATTTTACTAAAACTGAATATTTTCTTCAATACAATAGAGACAAAAATATAAATACATAAAAGTGTCGGATTGGACCATCGGTCTACTGGTCCAATGGCCAATAGGCTCACGTCCAGGCAGTGGGCCCTCAAGTTTTGTTGAAAATAGCAATTGCTTTGAAGATAAAGAAATTTTAATTGAAACAGTATCTCCTGCGATAGGTCAACTTAAAATAAAAAGAATGCCTTCGGAGGAATCTGCAGATGAAATAATTACCATAAATGATAAGGGTGCACATAAGACATTCGACCAAATTAACCAAAGTTTAACAAGTTGATTCTTTGATCATGAAGCTGTCTATAAGGACTTTTTAATTTTGACGCTAGAAATTTTAAGTTAATCAATGTAAAAAATATATAAAAAACAAATCATTTTATCCGTTTCCTATTTAACAGTAATTTCTCCACTTATTAATAAAAAATGAATTAACAAGTTTATTAAAAACATTTTCAGTCGTTGAGAAAACAATTTTTTCTCAACTCAAATAGTCTAAATTGTGTCTGTGAAGGTAGCGGGAGCGAAAATGATAGCTTAGAAAATGAATTTGAGGTACCTAAATATTAATGAAAAATCTGTCGATTGTCTAATTTTTCTACTCCAATACTTTAAATTACTTCTTTTTTGATAGATCTTATATTGACAGTTCTATGAATGTCAAAAGTTGCAATTTATTAGTATCTACTCTTTTAACTTTACTTAGAAGCAAGTGGTTAAATCCGCTTCACAATAACTTTTTTTTATTTAGAAAATAATTTTGTATATGAAAATTAAGATTGATTAAACAGTTCTACAATATTTTTTCTACGTTCATGTAAAAACAAAAAAAATATTATTCGCCTAATGTTTTGTTACAGGTAGCGTTAATTATGGGAGTTATGGGAGCGTGCCGAAGACAAAATTTGAGAACTTTAAAGATTTGAAAGAAACTCTTATTATTATTAACATTCCTGATACAAAAACGCCAATAACTTTTACTGTGACTGGCAAACATATTTGCAAAAAATATTAGGCATTCCAACGACCTGTCCAAATGGCTACCAGTGGGGACTGACAGTTAAGATACAGCAACCCTGTTGTTATGTTATCATTAACAGGATCAATGATACATATATAGTTATATAGATTGCTCAAAGCGGCCATATTGCCTGGCAAATATTTATTAATCTGAATCGGTTTAGCAAAAATGTATTTTAAAACCAATTTTCAGCCTATAGGTATTAAAAAAAAATGCTTACATTTTTACTTCAAGGCATAAGCTTATGTTAATTTTGAAAAATATGGATGATCAATCTATGTAACTATCTATTTCATTGACCTTGTCAAATCACCAGGCCAAATTTTGCAAAACCCACTGGTAGCCATTCAGTTTGGAATGCCTAATGTGAATTTACGACCAAAAGTTTGCAATACACCATACTTTTTTATTCATTACAAAAATCTGATGTGTCCAACACATGACTTTCCTATTTAGTTATTACAGGCTTTTTTCGGTTATTTTGTACAACCTATTGTAGCACCTCTGTAAATATTTAGGGGTTAACTTAATATATACATTTTCCACATACATCTAACTCGAAACATTTTTCTATATACACTCATTGCCAACGAAAATGCTGAAAAATCTAAATTTTATACTTTTCCTCCAATTTTTCTATTACGGTCCATTTTAGAGAAATCATGTAAAAAACAAAATTATACGAGATCTTTTAGTTCAACAATTTTCTTAAAAATCAGAATATTTTACATTTAGAAAAATTTCTCGAATACGGACCAGTTTAGGAAAATTTTGTATAGAACAAAAATTATAGAGAATAATATTAGAAGTAACTTTTATTTAAAGAATGTTCTTCTCCAAACGTAAATAACATATATTTCATAAAATATAAAAATTACCCCCTATAAAGTACCCCCCAGATGTTCCGACTCTGCCCAAAATCTAATCAGGTCACCGCAGTCCGGAATAACGCTAAAGTTTTTTAATTTGGTGTTTTTCGTTATATCCGTTCACAAGTTATCTATCGTGGATACAGACACACACACAGACATCATCGCGAAAATAGTTAAAATGGATTCAGGGGACCCCAAAACATAAAAATCCGTCGAAAACTCTAGGTTGAAAAAAATCATGATTCCTTTACTTTCCTTAGATACAGATAAAAAAGTAAAAACTGCCAATGTTCAGTACAAAACATTAGAATTAATAAATTTGGTAATTTGGGTAAACAAATAGCCCTACCTTAATCTTCCTAGCCCAAACCTATATACTGGACACTGCTTTCGTAGGAGTTCTACTACAATATTAGTGGATGCTGGTGGTGATATAGGTAACTACACTAAAAAGGCATGGTGGATGGAAATCGACGGGAGTTGCCGAGAGTTATATAGAAAATTCAGTAGGAAATAAAATTAATGTATCTAATAGAAATAATAATAAACTTGATAGAGAAACGAAACCGTGATACAAATATTGATATGCCTTCAACATCGAGAACAATACAAACAGGTGAAATTCCACAAATTAATTTTTCGAATTGTACAATTCAAAACTTATATATTTAAAAAAAGTAATAGCAATTTAAATGTAGTATATAATCGTATACAGGGTGAGTCGGGAGGAGCGCACCAAACTCTAGGAGTATATTATACACGTGAAAATAATATAAAAAAAAACTCATATGTTCTTATCCGATTTTCATTTGTTTTCAAGTTATGGCGTAATTAAAAATGTTCATCTAGCTTTCCACTTCTGAATTTTAACATTATCAAAGTATGTCATATGTTCAAGGCTCAAAGGCATTTGATAATTCTGATGTTTTGATGAACTGTCTGTGTACAGTAAACAGTAACTGAAGGTTTAATTTCGAATTTATGTGATTCTTAGTGTTGCAAAATGCCAGATATTATTCAAATTTAGAATATGCAAATATGGTGTTTGTTTATGGTTTCTGTAACGGAAATGCTACAGCTGCTGCTGAAGAATATCGTCAACGTTTTCCACACCGAAGACATCCTGATAAAAACGTATTTATTAGAGTTTTCAACAAATTGTGCAACACTGGTAGGTAAGCTTCCCAGTGCTTTCATAACATCTGAACGCACTACTCGACAAGGTTTTGTAGAAGTAGAAAATATTCTGCATCTAGTAGAAGAAGATGCAACTACTAGCTCACGGAGAATTGCCACTCAATGGGCGTGTTTAGTGAAATTCAAAAATATTTTTTTCTGATAAGTAACACAAAACCTAATCTAAAAATATTTTTTTTAAATTTTTCCCTTCTCAAATTTTCATACAATAATTTTTTTAAATTCCAAGAAATTCAAGCAAATTTGAAACGTGCGCCACTCTATTCTTCAAGCATCGTCATAATGAAGCCTACATTCTTATTGGCTGATTTATTATGTTCAAGCCAGTAGTTGATGTTTTTACGTGGTTGCCGTTTTTTGTAAAGAATTATTGAAATTCCGGATAACCAACAATCATTAAATGGTTAACATCGTGCAATTTAACATAAAAACATATAAAAAATAAATCTATATTGGTTTAAATTCCATTTTTAAGAAGCAACCTGACACTTACTATTTTAATTAACTTTATTAATCGACTTGTTATTCAATACCATACGAAATATTTTATCTGACAAGTCCGGCAACGTTGTTTCACTCTGTGTCATAACATAACCTAACAACCTAACCTAGTTTTCGATTGAGTTTATTGTTTGGATTTTTCTTTTAAATTGTATCTATATAGTGTTAATTTTTTAAAAATGGCAAAAATACAAACTGGATTTATGGAAGGATCTTCTGATAACTTACCTAAGGTGGATTCCGATATGATAAATGATTTTTTTATAAATAATATAAAGTTTATTGGCTCTGAAATTCGCAATGTAAAGACGAAACGGTAAGACACTTTTTTTAGCTGTGAAATAATTTACAATCTTTTTATAATTAGGTTCAAAAAGATTTGTATTAAATATAGGAAAAAAATGTGTTTTCTATTCTACAAACTCTGTTAACTAACTGCTACTAAATATTGTTGACATTTTATTTTTGCTATACCTATTTATTAAGTAACAATTATTCTATTGTAGGTCTGCAAAGGAAGCATATGGTGACAGTGCATTATCATATGTTCAACTCAAAAGAGAGGGTGTTTTGTGTAACATTAAAGCTAGGATTACCCCAGAACACAAAATTCACAAAAAAGCCTATAATGTTGATGCAGTAATAAACGAACAAGAGGAAAAGGTTGTGTCTTGTGAAGGCACAGACTGTTCTGCTTCTGAAGGTAATATAAATTCCTCTAAATATTAAAAAAAACTGTGCATACAATGTAACAAGGTTCTATTATTTTTTAAGGTGGTTGCAAACATGGTGTTGCTTTCTTGTTATGGCTGCAT